GCTCCACACAGTTTCTCCTTCCTTCTCAAGACATGTGGGAGTCTCACAAAAACCTAAATTGTAAGTGAGTTTAAACACATGAGTTTAAGTTCTTAAACTCATGTGTGAATATAATAGGTTAATCTATATTTAATACATGGACTCAGTCGTTAGATAAGATTTTGCAACTATTGGTATTTTGCATTTCAGTTTTGTATTTCACAACAGAAAGGATCTTGCGCTGAACTACTGCACCATTTACGTTCGGAAAGAAGAAGATGATTGGAAGAAGAAATTAAAATCCAGCCGTACTGGACTGTGAAAGTTGATGAATGAACACTAAGTTTGTTTATCTTTTCAAAACAGACGCTTAATATAATAGAATATTGCAGCCGAGTTTGGACTTGTATCCCCAGGAGATATCCATGTTTAGAAGGCTCTGGCATTAGGCTCATGGGGCTATTTACATGGAGAGACGTGAGAATTGACTCCATCAAGATAACAAGCTCCGGCTTTTCTGGACTGTAACAGTTCCGTGAATTTAAGGTTGTTCGGAAAAATTCCAAAAAAGCCCCACGAAAAATGCTTCCAATCCTCATACAGAGACTTGAAAAGTTTCTGCCAGTTTCATACACTCCCCGCACACTAAATGATAACCTGTCGCAATTTGCAGTCTTAAGTTTACTCCTTACGGCTCCAACAGAGAAAAAGGCAGAGAGAGGTCGCTGGAGGCTGCTCACGTCGTATGATCGTCGGAAACCATTGACGCACGCTGTCCCTCGACTGCGAAGACGGGGAAGTGATCGCTGCTCGGTCGCCCGCCTCACGCTGTGCCTTCCGCATCATTTCCCCAGACCCTGCTCGCTTATGCGGAGGAGCCCCGGCCAGAGACTCTGCGCTCCGAGAGGAATTGCTTCCACATGATCCCAGCGGTCCTCTGCAACGCCTAGCTCCATCTCTCCTACTCCCGCTCGGGTTACATGCAGCCGAGACGCTGCCCAGATCTGAGATTTTGCTGCAAAAGCACCTGATATTGCCCCCGTTTGAAACCTGACGGGTCTTATAGTTTCTCAATCGGTGTTGTACTTTGGAATGCCCTTGTTACGAGCGCTGTTCATTAGTGGTCTTCCATAGTCGTACATCTGTAAACATAAAGAATGCATTTCCCTGCATCAAATACAACACGAACAATTTTCTGAACAAGAATTCTTGAAAGAGTTATTTTTCTGCATGGAAGACTTTTAGCATGTCTTTTGACATGGAAGTAATTTCCATGGTTTTTTGAAAGGAAAATGAAGAGACTGCATCACACATAAGTCGTATTGCTATGTAGTTTATCTCTGTTCGTAATCTAATAAGTCCAGCTTTGTTATTACCAATGTTTGCTGCAGTGCTATCTATGAAATTTTCGGATAATTTTCATGTTCAACATTTCGAGGAATAAAAATCATTGTAGATTGATTTCGTGCTCTCCTGTAATGTGCAATTTCGCTCTGGTACATCGGACTTGTAGAAAGGAAGACAGTTTTGGGTAATGATTGGCAGACTGGAAATTTTGTCTCCTTTAGCAACTACGAACCTTAATGCTGGAGTGAATCCTTAAGCCCGGTCTTGAGGTGCTTTCTGCAGTGACACATGTTTTAGATACTCTCATGTCCAACGTGCAGACACACTTGACAGGAATTCTCATTTTCAAATTACGTTAGGATGTGAGCTTCTCAGTGCTAGCTTTATGACGAATTCACGGTCACAAAATAAATAAATATGTAAATATGTAAATATGTAACATATATTCGTGGGTCTTCTATGAAAACATAACCGATGAGTACATATTTTAGACTGTGCTGCTGTTGGAGCCTAGCCCCGTGTTACCCCTCTGGTTCCATGACTCAAGCTTGAAGGGGCTACCCATTCCTTTCGCAGTATTACTTCGTTCCCCTTTGTCTTGAAAGTCCTTTATTATGCATTCGCAGGAATGCATGCAAGAGAATTATGCTTTACTATATGTTTCCATGCGTTAAAGTTGGAGGGAATGATACAAATAAAACAAGGTTTTCAAGTCGTAATTAGTTCTCGTCTCATCTAATGAAGAACTATTACTTAATGATTTCTTACTTGGTATGAAATGGCGACTGACCTATCAAGTTGCTTTGCCAAGACTTCAACCAGTCAAACTTCACTTCATCCAAGGAGACCTCAGTCACAAACCACAGTAAGGCATGTGGTTCGTACCTACTCGAGAAACTCTCTTCACCGAACTGAACTGTCCATGTTTTGTCAAATGGCCTCTGTTTGCACGTAAGGATTGTAACTTCTTGAAAGAGTAGAACGAAGTAAATTACCCACAAAAATCGTATTATCAATCGGTACATCGGTGAAACTAAGAGGGACAGCATGGGCTAGGTACCAGCAGCATCAAACTGGTAAATATTGCAACTAATATATGCCAACTGTGTCAAAGTCTCTGCCAAAAACAGAGAGTAGCTACGTCTATTGTGATTGCTATTCTATGAGGAACACCGGCTAATGAAACACGTTAAAATTAGCAAATCTTCAATAATATAGAAGAGTGTTAAGATGATTGATAAAAGTAAATATTATCTTGTATTTTCTTCAATCTCCATAAATCTCCCCTAATGAAGTTAAGGACTTTTGCATATCAGCCTTCTTGCATGAAATGATAATCAGGAAGCTGAAATTGACACAAAAAAACAGGTCACCTCATCTCGGTGCATCGATTTGCAATGGATTTGTAGATCAGTTTCCTTGAATCGAAGAGAAACACGAGTTCACATGACGCTGATCTTAAAGATGGCAAGATTCAAGTATATAATTTTTTTACAAAATATGTATATTGTTATATTTTGAAAAAAGTAATAGAAATTTAGAAAATATCTTTTTTCAAAGCTAATAATTATACATGATACATCAGATATAATTGAGAAATAATGAAAATTTCTACTACGTCAAAATTTATTTTCAGTTTTGAAAGTAACACTGAGAAAAAACTGAGATACAGTTGAAACCGTCGTAACGGTTTTAAAGGAAAAACGTTTCAAACTCTACGACAGTTTACCACTCTCCGCGCCTTCTGTAACAGAAGGCGGATGCTGCCGCTGCAGTCGGATGTGACGTTACGATGGAGAATTTAAACTTTTTGTTTGAAGTTGAGGAGTTAAAACTTGGAAGAGATAATTTCTCAATCTTACCTATCGTTCAGTGTGAGCTTTGGTCTGTCTGCGATCACAGATTTCTAGAGTGTGTGGGGAAGTTGTGAAGCAATTTCCGACATCTCAGCGCTTCGTTCGACCTTCTTGTGTTATTTACAGTGAGAGCTTTGGTCTGTCTGCGATCACAGATTTCTAGAGTGTGTGGGGAAGTTGTGAAACAATTTCCGACCTCTCAGCGCTTCGTTCGACCTTCTTGTGTTATTTACAGTGTGAGCTTTGGTCTGTCTGCGATCACAGATTTCTAGAGTGTGTGGGGAAGTTGTGAAACAATTTCCGACCTCTCAGCGCTTCGTTCGACCTTCTTGTGTTATTTACAGTGTGAGCTTTGGTCTGTCTGCGATCACAGATTTCTAGAGTGTGTGGGGAAGTTGTGAAACAATTTCCGACCTCTCAGCGCTTCGTTCGACCTTCTTGTGTTATTTACAGTGTGAGCTTTGGTCTGTCTGCGATCACAGATTTCTAGAGTGTGTGGGGAAGTAGTGAAGCAATTTCCGACATCTTAGCGCTTCTTTCGACCTTCTTGTGTTATTTACAGTGAGAGCTTTGGTCTGTCTGCGATCACAGATTTCTAGAGTGTGTGGGGAAGTTGTGAAACAATTTCCGACCTCTCAGCGCTTCGTTCGACCTTCTTGTGTTATTTACAGTGTGAGCTTTGGTCTGTCTGCGATCACAGATTTCTAGAGTGTGTGGGGAAGTTGTGAAGCAATTTCCGACATCTCAGCGCTTCTTTCGACCTTCTTGTGTTATTTACAGTGTGAGCTTTGGTCTGTCTGCGATCACAGATTTCTAGAGTTTGTTGGGAAGTTGTGAAGCAATGTCCGACCTCTCAGCGCTTTTTTCGACCTTCTTGTGTTGTTTACAGACTCTGCGCTGCCTTCGTCCAATGAAAGCCAGTGAAGGGAGGAGCTGACCATTTTTTGCTGCTAGTGACATACGTGATTCTTTAGAGTTGCATAGTATTTTTTTGGCGTAAAATGTCTATTGTTAAGCTATTCATTGAGTACTTTTGAGATTTTGAGTTTGCTCACTTTTCACAATCACAAAAATTTTAATAGAATAAGAGGTGTTGGGAGCAAGTGGAAATTGGAGCAAGTGTTAGGAAATTTCCGACACAGAAGACATGTCCCTTTTTCATGGCTCTGTTAGCTGCATCAGGATACTACATTTTATGAATAGTTGACTCTGAGTAAATCTTACTTCTGGAAAGCTGACGAAGCTTAACTCGATTTAACATTACTAGGATGAAGAACTACACTGTAACAAGCAGACAAATGTCAATTTCAATACTGATGTCAGGAGCAATACTGATGATCTTATTACATTTTCATTGACAAAATTTTTGAAAAATTCCTATGTCTTTAACTGTATGCTGAAGTCGGCAATATATGCTTCAGAAAACTCTGTATCATTAGAATTGCCTTTATCTAAAGTAATTAACAGCGTTCAAGAATTATTGACAGCTCAGGATTCCCAGTCACATTACTTTGCAGAAATAAACTAAGCATTGTTAAATACATTCATAATATAAACATGTAAGGATTTTAAAGTAAGTATTTATTCTGAGTACTTACTTGAGATGAGTATAACGTTTTAAACAGTTATTCACTGTATTTATTCTAAGTACTTACTTGAGATGAGTATAACGTTTTAAACAGTTATTCACTGTATTTATTCTAAGTACTTACTTGAGATGAGTATAATGTTGTAAATAGTTATTCACTTCACCCTAACAGTGATATCTATAATTACATATCTCGACTTGGATATTTCACTCCATACGAGTATTTTGTTTTCTATCCATATCACGGAGAATTTTATTTTACCTTTGTAGTGTAAATGTAACAATGTATAGGGTTTGATCTTTTATTCACATAATTCCTTAAATATCTCATGAATTTTATATTTTCAAAGTACAAGGTTGTAAATGGTCAAATCTCGTAAAGAATGTCCGAAGACAAACTTTCCAACCTAGATTTGTGCTAAAGTAAAACTTTTCCCAAGATATAGATAAATGCCGTATTTATGGATTATCTGAATATTATTTCTAAAATAGATATAAATGCTTATTAATGGGCAATCTTAATTTTTTGATTGTGTCGCAGTGAGAGACTCAAGTTCGATCATGAAGTGTAAGCTCATTGAAGGTTTGTGCTTTTCCTTGACCCGGAATCTGCCGTTGACAAGGGAACAAGTTCATCCCGTCTTCCCTGAATTTCGATTCAATTGTCTCAGACTCCTGCTAAGAAGGGACGGAGTGTGCTACTTCCTCTATCAGCTCTCACTCCTTACCTCTGTGCAACTTTGACGCAGCTGGCCTTTGGCTGTGGTGGTCAAGCTGCTTCCTTGTTCTTGAGAAGCCATACGTGTGCTACGTCTGATTTTGGATCCAGGACGAACCAAAGCGAGTACTTGGTGGTTAGTAGACACGTCTTTGTGCACGTCTTTCTCGGACAGTTAATTTTTTAACGGTTGTAATCCAGTGCTTCAATATGACTTTTCCGATGGCTGCTGTAAACTCATAAGGAGATCATGAACTCACTTCACCAGGACTTTCATCGATTGACAGTGAGGTTACTCAGCCACTATCTCCATACTTGCCACGCGAGGCTGGCTTTTTTCACTCGTCTCAAATATGCATTTTTTCAATGTACCATTACCGAAATCATTGTGCGGCTGTTATGGCTGCAAGAACCCAATAACTGGGCGCATACAAAATAATTATTAAGCAATGGTACGTCAAATCTAAAGAGTCCGATGAAATGCGGCTCTTACATGAAAACTTTTGAGGTCATTTCGACAGCCAATAACCTGGCTTACCGGCGCCAGATCTTTCCGGTGTCCTGCGAAAAGGTTCCAGAGTATAGATGAATCATCAGGATGAGCTTTGTGAAGTGGATTCCTCTGTATAAGATGTACTCAATGCTCTTTTGCTGAAGTTTTGGATTATAATCGTATTCTATTAGGGCGATTGGGGTCTATCAAAAGATATCAGCACCAGAATCTAAAGCAATACACGGAGCAATTCATGTCTTTGTTGGACAGAAGCCTAGCCTCTGCGGCTAACTGAATGGTGCGTGAGTGGTATGTAACAGGATTGAAAAAGTTTCAACCCGATCAAGAAATGTTCTGTAGACGAGCCAATCCTCGCACACCCAAGAAACCCATCTATGCTACGAAGATTTCCAACACCCATAGACGGAAGTTGAAGAAGCTACGTGTTTCACGGCGCTCAAAGCGTGAGAACAGAACCAAATCTCGATCGAGATATGGTCCTTCCTCGAGCATTTCTTCAACTATTTCAAGGATATGTTCGTTATTAACTTTTAATTATCGCAAAATTTTGTAATAGTTAATCATTAACTGAATATGATATGAATGGAAATTTGTGTTAATTTATGAGACTTTAAAGTATTTTTTGAAACTCATGTATTTGATTTCACTAATACTGATGCTTAATGAATCTATCACTATCATGATCCAATGGCATTTCCATTCCATATCCATAATTCTGATTCTGATTTATGATCCATGGTACTACCTCGTACATCGTATTTAGTCCTCGGTACTTCTAGCATCGTATCTCGTCCGCATATCTCACATTGTACGTGAGAGTCCGAGGGGTCGCCCTCATCGTACCTCGTACGCTACGGATCGTACGGACCTATTATATTTTGTGCTATTGATGCGTTATGAGTAGAAAAAGCAAGCAACTGCTAGAAGTATTGATTCACAAAATGAATGAACCTCTACGAAGTGAATTAACCCCTATCTGTAGAATTAGTCACTAAAAATCTTGCTTGCATCCTACTTGATGAATCAAGATAGGATAGTCTTGCTAGTAGAATTTATCCAGGTCGATCAATCTGATCAACCATGTGATCATTCTATAGAATTTGATTTTGGGCCTACCTACTCTCTTTGGGAGGTAGAGCTTATTCGGTCCTTTATATGCATAGCTGAATTGCCTTGACTATAACATAAGGGTACTTCTACCCTTCCGAGCCCTCCAGCACCATGAAGAAGGCAGCATCCAACGAGGAACCTTATGTAAACCTCGGGTCTGTCGAATCGTCGGATGACCTTCCTTACGTGATCCGAGGGTGCTCCCATTTCCTTGTACATGAAGCCTCGTGCTTGGCAGGAGACTTTATCCTGGACGTGAAATTTCTTGATTCTAGCTTCTTCTTCGCTCGTCAGGATTGCAAGGTAAAAGATTGCAACGTGTTTGCGAAAGTACATAGTCTGCGAAGAATGTTTTTTTTCTAGAGAGAAAGGTGATGAGAAATAACATCTCATCACTTCTCATCACCCTTCTCTCTAGGAAAAAAAACTATAGTTGTAAAGTGATCTGGAAAAAAACAGCATGCCCTTTCCAGTGATAAGGATAGTCTTCAACTCTCACGTTCTAGAATTGCATCATATTCCAGCTCCTGTCAAGAATATGTGACAAAAACACTTCTAGCCATTCAGCCATGCACTGAACGCATCCATGAACAAGAAGCTTTTCCAAAACTTTGACTTAAGAACTCTCATTTCATATGACTCCCTAAACTGAGGGTTATCAAATGACAGTGACAAAGAGAAGATTTTTCACTTTGACCTCGTTCGTCACTGTCATTTAATAATCCTTAGTTTACGGATGTCGTCTGCAAACTAGAAAAGCTATATCATATGACTCCCTAAACTGAGGGTTATCAAATGACAGTGACAAAGAGAAGATATTTCACTTTGACCTCGTTCGTCACTGTCATTTAATAATCCTTAGTTTACGGATGTCGTCTGCAAACTAGAAAAGCTATATGAATCGTGTTGGCTTCTGTTTCTTATGCGTCATTTTTTGCAATATAATATCCTGCACTTTCTTGTGCAATCAAAGATTCATCATTATCTATCCACCCAGCACCTTGGAACTCATGATGTCTGGTTTCAAGTGTAATAGGCAAATCCGGTATTACGTAATCTCTTTGAAAGTTGAACCAACCGCCACCACGATTTCAGAAGTATCCATGGCATCCTCACCAAAAGAGAGATTTGATTTAGAGTTATGAACCCCGTATATGAAGATTCAGCATATTTCAAAAGTTGATGTGTGATAGGAAGAGTCAAGTAAGTGCTGATTACAAATCTCTAAAACAAAGAGTCTCATAAGTCTCGCAGTGTGAATGTAGACTATGTGCTCCAGAATGCTCATGGAATTGTACCCGAAATCATCAACCCCTCTAGCTTCATCTCGAATGCTTACAATGTACTTCCTATGATACCTAAAAATCATGTTAAAAATTTGAAGAGAGACCTGATCACTATATTCTTCGCAAACTATAGATGTGAAAATTATTTCAGAATCACCTTCCGCTCTAGGAAGATAAAACTCTAGTTACAAAGTAATCTGAAAAGAAATAAAGCATGCGTATTCCAGTGACAAGGATAATCTTCAAATATCACGTTCTAGAATTGCATCGTATTCCAGCTACTGTCAAGAATCTGTGATAAAAACACTTTTAGCTATTCCGCCATGCACTGAATGCATCCATGAACCAAAAGCTCTTCTAGAACCAGATACTACGTTACTCCTTTACCTCGTGATGAAATCAACATGTTGATGTCATCCAGATCTTCTCTTTGTTTCAAAATGTGTTAAAAATTGCCTGATATTCATGTAAATGTTTACCAGTCAGTATCTAAACCCTAAACCCTAAACATACGTTTATCAAATTGGAAGCGCTTTCCCACTAACTTTCAGATAATGGCATCATCAAAGACAGAAGCTATCTAGATAGCGTCTCTTTAGCTTAATCATTTCAAAAAACTTCAAGTTGCAGATCCTTGAACCAAAAAGGTTAAGATAACCTGAAGTAGGAAGTTCATGGTAAAACATGATAAGATAATCATGAAGATGATCAAAGTTCTTGCTCTATCGGCGCTAAGGACTATTCTAAGCAGACTATCAAAGACTTTCAAGAAGACAACGAGTCCGAGAGACATGAGTTCATCTTGCACTTTATTTTACATAAAAAGAATGAATAACCATGTGTTTCTTAGTTGAATAAATAGCTTCCACTACAAAAGTTTTAATGTCGTTGTTTCCGTCTTTGAACCTAGCACCTAGCTATGGTTGAGCAGTTTGATCATCAGCTTAGGTCGATGCTAGAAACAGTCTCCACGGTATTTCAAGCAAAAAAAGTAGACGAAGAAAAAATTATACTTGCCAAATGTACGAGAACAAGGGAACAAAGACTACTTAATGCTTATGAGCAAACATTATCAGTCATTACAATGAACTGAAACTACCATGTGAGTCATATATATCGATATACTATATGTCAAAACATAACTATTTGACAGTCTCTCATGGAAACAAGTGAAATCTACAGAAGAGATCTAGCAGTACAGCATTGAGTGATATAACTGTACCAAAGGAACTCATACTTCCTACCCTCGTTTCAAAGAACACGAATGGGATAGAGCTTACCTTGACACCCCACGTGAGGACTACAATTATCTTGGAATATAAAAAATCTGTTTAAGTTAAACTTCTTTGACTTCAGTAATCATTAGTCAAAGTTCGTCATAGGTTTCTTTCAATCCCTTTGCTTCGAAGGAAAGAAAAATAGCATAATGCGAGCTACTTTCTTTATAAAAAGGTACAATCCTTCGAATTTGACACCAATTTTGCTTTTGGTTCATGCTGTAGATCAACAACCATCGTAGAAGCATCTCCACCCTGAGTAAAGGCATGAAATAAATCAGGTGCATGGACTAAACTGAAAATCAAAACTTTTAAAGAGTTAAGATAGATAATTAAAGCAAAGGCGTAAATACAGTGTAAGGACTAGGCTGAGAGAGAATTGTGCAAATTAAAAATGATCGTTAGAGCTTCTAAGCCTTCAAGTCGCAAGACACACAGTCCTTGGTGTTAAGGTGCCCAACCGCACTCGATTTCATTTCCTGGGTCGCCGAATATCTGCTATCCATTTACCGTATGTATTCCGACAGAAAGTTTTCAGTTGCGAATAGATCTAAAACTCTCAGGGCCTCCCTTATTTTCTGAAAAAGCATTGCTCCACTTCTCCTCGAAGAACCCTTGATATACATCACTTGTTCAAATGTAGCGCAAGGTGCAACATTTGAACACTTGTTACAATTGCAAAAACATGTATTTTTGGTACATTAAAATGCCAGTCCGTATTGGAAACAACCAGCAAAGTCTCAAAAGTCTAGAAATTGATGTAAATAAAACATACATAACCAAAAGACAGGTAAATTTAAGGTTAGTAAAGTAAGTAAATTTATCTCGTGGTGGCAGTTGGACATGCCACTTTTTACTCTTTCACATCATGCAGGCTTTACGAATTGGGTGTGGGCGGAAGTAACTTGAACCCCATTAAAACCTCTGATTGCAGGAACTTGACATTAATGAGAGAGGTTTAGTCATCGGCAATGTAGGTTTCTCAGCGAGTCATATCCTCGCAGATGTGGGAAACGGAGGCACATCCACACAATTTTTCCTTCACGCATGTCTCTCTTTGATGCATCACGATGCTGCGATCACAAACGAAATTAGATATACTCATTAGAACATTCCTGATTGTTTCTTGGTGCACATCTTTCAGAACCGGACGCACATCCACACAATTTTTCCTTGACGCATGCCTCTGTTTGATGCAACAGTATGCTACGATCACAAACGACAGTAGATATACTCATTAGAACATTCCTTATTGTTTTGGAGGCACATCTTTCCGGATTGAACTACCTCTTTAGTACCTTTTGATGATTCTTCCATTTTTGTCGCCTTTGGCCTCCGCTGTATTCATTTTACAAAGAACGCTGGAGGACTGCCGTTGAAGAAGACTGAATTCAACTCTCACGAGTGTCTGACTTATTTCAATGTTCATTATCTCAATGAGAGGGATCCAAGAGTGATTTGAGGTTAACTACCCACTGGTGGACAAGTTGGCGGTTTGTATAAATAAAAAAAGCATGAAAGTTTTATCCTTCCCAATATCTGAGATGGCGAACTACTTATACTCATACTTACTTCATCCTCATACTCGGATATTGCTTCAATAGTTTCACCTCAGATTCACTTTTCGATTTATCAATCCCTCTCATTGAGATAATTGACATTGACATAAGATCTTGCATTGAGATACTGAGACATTCCATATACAATAAGAAACATGATGAATTACAAGATAAATTATTGATGATTCGCAACAAAATTTGGTTAGAATCCCATAAAACACTCTCAAAAAATATTACATTCTAAGTCCATTACATCACTCGTTCATTGAGCTACTGGGCCATTCACATGATGACAGGAAACGATGAACTACAGACTTATATCATAATTCAAGCAGTATGGAGTGTATAAGTGAAAAACTTTGTACTCAATGTTTCCATAAAAACCGCCAAGAATAACTAAGCCGGTGCACGGACTTGAATCCACATGTAATTACTGACTGCAAACAGATAGCATAATTCGGGACATAATAGTGATGAATGTACACTCTGTTCAAAGAGTGTACATTCATCACTATTATGTCCCGAACAAGCGAGACCCAAAAGTAATGGACCCCAGGCACGATTCAGCCCTCCAGCATAAGTCTACTTTTGGAAGTCTCTGGCATTGGGTTACTGAGACATTCATGGCACTAGAAGTGATTGCTGACTCCAAGAAGAAAAACAATTCAGTCAATAGTTGATTGTAGCAGTTCATGGATAAACAATTTGTTATAAAAGACTCTCAAACAGTGTTTAGTTTGTACTCACGTGTCCATGGAGTTCTTTTCAAGCTTGTGAGACTCTCCACATCAAATTACACTCATGCAGAATTCGGAGCTTTCAAGGTACCCTTTGCCAAACAGAGAAGGCGGAGACTGCGCAGAGCGGGAAGTGATCCATGCATTGTCGCCCGCCTCACGCTGTGCTTTCCTCATTATCTCTCCATACTCTTTTCACTCCAGCGGAGAGCCCATGACAGAGACTCCGCGCTCCTCTGCAAGGACGTGACTTCCACATGATCAGGCGTTGCTCATCAAGGGCCCAGCTCCATGTCTCCTACTCCCGCTCAGACTATATTGTATTTCACTCCTGGTTACAACGAACTGCCGTTTAGTAAGAGATCCCCTAAAAAATTCCTCAATAAATTGCCACTTTCTATACAACGTAACCAGGGAGTATTATCTTTGAAATCGGTAAAAGCAACAGTCAACAACAAAACTTTCCATTCTTGTCATGAACATGGAAAGAAACGGAGGAAAATAGATGCTATTTCGAGTTGTATTACGAATGGAAGCCCAAATATTTATAATATAATCAGTTTACTCATTATGCAGCAAAGAAAATATGAATATAATAGTATCCTCCCGATTAAGTAGTCATCCGTTCAATTAAGTATTGTTTTCCCCAAATAATAGGGTTCAGTTTTAATCAGTTCAACATTTCATAGATGGTCAATCTTGCGTTTGGAAACCCTATATTTATGTACATATGTCCATAGAGGATTAGAAGGACCTATTTCGATGGTAGGTAAAAAACCAAGCTGGCATTGTCCAGTATATTTTTTTGAATCATATTGGCAATAAACCGGTAAGGTCGTCTTATACTTCCAGCAATCTAGGATTTTTGTTGTTGGTTTCAGATTTCTTTACGTGAAGCAGCCCCTTTTGCAACTCTCGATACATTGTGATTGAATTAATCATTACCAATATGCCTTATCAAGCTCTTTGAAACAACCAAAAGAGTATCGAAAAATCTTCTCTTTAGCTTCATCAGATAGAATACATCGTTTTAGGATTTGCTCACACATAGCTGCTTCATTAAGTACTTTTAGCGGGAGCATCTTTGTTGCTAAGTTTCTCTATTATATTGCATCGATTGTACTCATTTAGGCGCTCGGTTTCATCGACATTACATGTCCTGAATCAAACGATAGGACCTAGCGGGTAAGTACTCACAATCCTCCCAGGTTCAAGTTGCGTACTTAGGCGTTATACTGCTGTACCATAGCAAGACTACTGAGTGTGGTTTCCGTTACTCAATTCCACTTGGTATGGCACCTATTTTGTTCTAGTATCGTTCTTGATAACTGTAATGCAACTCAAGAAAAAGAAATAGAAAAAGACCTACTCCATAAATTTTAATTAATAAGACAAATTTTTCATTGCGATAGTCAAATCCAACTGCAGCTAAGAGCTGTGAATGAACAACATGTGTGCATTCGAAATTTCTCACATCTTCTCAATTATGATTCGCTCATCACTAAACCTCTCTCCTATCGTGCTAGTTCCTGCGATCGGTGGTGTTTTTTCCGATCAAAGTCCATCCCCCACGCACTAAACTTCGTGTATCAAAAACTGTTATGTGCAAGTAGCTACTCTCGTCTTTGGCACAAGTAGATATATTTTCGTACTATACCAGATTCCTTCCATTACAAGTAGATACTTTTTATTTCCAGATTGACATTTACTCAGTGTTGCTTGTTACCAACACCAATGCACTTGTTTTATCTTGCATCTTGTCTATTACTTGATATTGTTGAGATCACGTGGGACACTCGTGTGTGAGAGAGTCTTGGATCGTCTTGAAATCGGTACTGGAGCGTCGTACTTGACCGCTGCCTTTGACCGTTGAACTGCAACGCTACTCGCAAAATGACAAGAAGGTTAGGCAAAGGTGCACCGGTCTTGTCTTCTTGACAAGAAGAGGAGCGAGGATTCTTCTAGAAGGAAGTGACACTCCCTCCTCTCGTCTCTGAGAGTACAAGAATGCGTGAGATGGTTTGAGAAATTAGCAGCTCCGAGTCTCAGTCCACGAAAAAAGAAGGCGAGTCTTGTTGGGCACCTTGCAGACCAAACAGGAGGCTGCTGCGGCTTACTATGCGACTCTCTGCGGTGAAAACTCGAAGATTTGCGTACTTAGTCATGAAAATAGATCCTGTATTATTAGGCTTCGTTGAGAACTCGAAGATTGCATACTTGGTCATGTAAATAGATCCTGTATTATTAGGCTCCTTTGGGAACTCGAAGATTTTCGTACTTGGTCATGTAAATAGATCCTGTATTATTTGGCTCCGTTGGGAACTCGAAGATTTTCGTACTTGGTCATGTAAATAGATCCTGTATTATTAGGCTTCATTGACAGTTTTCATTCACATACTCAATTCGACATGTCTTTCTTTATGCTAAATATGCGCGGATGTTCATTTACCAGCGTAGGCGGAGACTGTCATATCAGTCTCGATACGCCCAACTTTATTCTGCAGTCCACGTGTTCAATTTGGTTGCATTATCTTCTTAGTCATATAGGACAGAAGCCAACCCACTAGTAGAAAGTTATTTAGTTTCCAAGTTATGATATTTTAGTATAAGACTGGACTTTGACTGTAAACTAAAGCTGTTCAGCTTAAATCCTCTAATGGTAGTTGTCCTGCAATTCATCAGTATAAATTGAGTGTGAATATTAATGTCTGATCGGTTGCTAACATTCTCATTACTCCATTAACCTTATCACAAACATGTTGCATGCATTTTACAATACTATAGAAATCCTGCTGTTCTTATTGTGGGGTCAAGCATCACCGACTCGATAGAGTTTCACATATTTATAATGGTGATTTGTTCTTGAATGAAAGATTAGATTATTCGCGAGGAAGAGAGCACTTCCAGTTGAATTACCACTATATATGTGAATCGATAGTTGAAAAAACCTTGTCGTTGAGTCGAAATAGTAGTTGGGATGTGCTAGAAGTAGCCGTTGAATAATAATAATGTAGTAGTAGTTCTTGAATAGTGATAAACTTTAGATAAATAACCGTTTGAAAGATGGAAAAAAATTGATAACACCGAATATATATACAGAAATTAGTCTAATTAAGGCTACTAGTAAGAAGCAGACTTCAAAATTACTAAGCTATCTAACGGTGATGGCAATGCTGCAACTGGATGATAGCCAAAACCTTCATTGATTGCACCTTCGTCACCTTCATAGTTATCTACCTTCATTGACATCTGCATGATACCAAGAGAGTAAATGGCCAACACTCCTTCTTACTCTAGTGCTCTCATATCGTCAACTTGGACAAATCAGAGAGCTCTGCAGGAGTGAAAAAACTTAGTTTGCTCCTCCTTGCTTCAAACTTGCTCCTAGTCAAGGCTTTTGTGAGCATGTCTACAGGCTGATATTTCTGTGAGTATATATGCTACAAAAATACTAGCCTGCAGACATGCTCACAAAAACTTAGTTCATGTTGATATTCTGGCAGCACTAGAATAAAGGAAGTATTAAACGTTTATTATCATGCTATCATCTAGATGTTGATGAAGGTTAGGTAGTTATCATTTTTGCATATAACTGTTAGGTAGCTAAGTAGGTTCAACGTTTGCTTTGATTAGACTAGTTGCTCTATGTATATTCTGTGTTACTAATTGTTTGATGAACTTTTTTTATTTTCCGCACAGTGATTTCTGTGTGTCCTATAGTTCATCATGTCATACTTACTAAACACTTTTTCCGCCAAAGGCGACTAATGTCTATCCCTGACATGGTGAGAGACAAAAAGAGATACTAAACAAAGACTTATCAAACCACGAACCACGACTTATCAAACCACGAGACGCCACCAGCGATGATTCCATGACTAGGACATATGTTTAAGGCTATATAAAAGAGTCTAGACCACTTTTGTAGTTATCATTTACGAAATAGTGCTCATGGCAATGAAAGTTGAGGCACTGCAAGGGCAAGGCGGGGATGATCTGAAGAATTGTTCCATGGAGCACGTGTTCGAGAAGCTGCGGTGCCACGAGCAGTATCTGACGCAGTTCATGTTATAAACAATAGTAAGATAGCGGGGTTTGTCGTGTTTTCACTATCTACGGGTTTTATCTCTGAATTTTTAACAATTCTATTTTTCTTTCTCCTTCTTGCTCATCATGTTGTGTAGTGTTATTGTGCACTATCTAGGGGCTTTATCTCTGATTTTTTTACAATTCTATTGTTCTTCCTCCTTCTTGCTCATCATGTTGTGTAGTGTTATTGTGCATCTATCTCTACGTTACAGTTTCTACCGGAATATATAATTCCTGCAGGTCTCACTCAAAACTCAATGGCATCTAGCAAGATTTTGAGGGGTGGAACGAAAATTCAGTGGCACCTAGCAAGATTTCGAATGGTGGAACGAAAAATGAAGAACTTTTCCAGACTAGCTTGAAAGAAACCTAATCACATATCGAAAATAAAGCAACATATTTGAATTCACAGTGAATTGCTCATACAATCTAAGCATGCGCAATTCATTGTGAAGAAGATGCATCTCGGGAGAACAAACATCGCGTGATTTAAACAATTAGTGGATGCCCATTAGTACGAAGTAGTGTACATTGAACGGATTCCATATTCACAATTCTCAAGTAACGTGGTAGACTGAAGGGCTAGTGCAGGTATCTGCTATTTCAAAAAACTTATTATTGCATTTTTTATTACACATAGTATGTTTTCTAAATGACATCTTCTTTACCCATGACCGCAATAAGCACCATTCACCATATCTATTTTCTTTTGATATGCTAGATTATATGTAAAGTAACTCTTGTGTTGATCCACAAGAGGCGTAAAGAACGCAAGCAATCAAGAGAGGTATAAAAGTGTGCGCTTTGGGTAAAGTGCAAATATATCCATCAAGTCCTTGCTGAAGATATAATATATGTGATGGATCAAATTTGTAGCCCGCCAGCTGCAATGCTGATATTTTCCAGTGTCACATGTAGGAAAACGAAGCACCATCCTCTATTCGTCTTCTAAGACGTCCAGCAACTGACCAGCTCAGTACATTTCCACAGATTAATCTACATCCACAGCACTGTACATTATCGACGCATAGATTTGAAACTCAGGCAAGTAATGACAAGGGACTCCAGACGAAGCAGGATCTCATGAATGTCAAATGTTAACACACAATCACACCTTCGAAAGGTAAAGTTTCGGGGTAAAGTTCAAATTCCGATCTTACGAATACATGGTGACAGGCAAGTTAAGTTAATATATGTGCATTATATATTGACTAAAATATATTGACAGTAAATATATATACTCTTAGCGTATCATAAATCCTCGAATTCTTCCCCATTGATATTTATTATGAGAGACAGTATCACGATTTTGCCTGGGTTCAAAGTTCTGATCTCGATTATTGTTAGTGATTTTCTGCTCTGAACATGAAGGACTGAGAGCAGATTATTCAGAAGGGCAATTCCAGCTTTATCTTGTTCATCTATTGTTCAACTTTTGGAAAAATACTTGGTTCCGGGATAAGAAAAGCGAAAAACGAAAACAAATCAACTTTTATTCATACAGTACCCGAGAGTAGTAACCTCGTCTATAAAGTTCACATACAGTAGCATGTCTGTGCAGTATCACCAGCCAAGAAAGATCTAATCGACCAATGAAAGCTGTGACAAACTACGGCACACAAGCGCCACTACAGTTCGCTGAAGTCCACCTTCTTTGAGCCGTCCAAAGAGGAGCAACAATGAGTATCTGACTTCTGGAAATTATGTTGCAAACTGTCTCCCAACTTCTACACGCATCGACACTGAAGAAGCTTTTTAATAGTAATCAGCGAATCAGAGCCCTCGCCTACTTCACTGGCACCCAACTTGAATGGCCGAAAAGCTCTGCCCTTCTACTCTCTGTCCGGCTTCCCTAGGTCCGTCGACGGTGACTCCCTGATCATTGCAGGCTTGATCAGCGCAGAGGTAGACGTCGCAGTCCGCGGGGAGATCTCGGTCTATGGTGATACATTGCCCGTTTATGGTCACTTCCACGGCGCTAAGCCCGGGCGTGTTGTTGTCGTCTGCTAGAAATCCGAGCTCGACGCCACTACATACCCTCCCCGACCACGCCGTCACTTCATATGCAGACACGATGGAGAGAGACGACAACAGCACGGCCAAGGAGAAGACGATGAACAGCTTGGTCTGCATGGTGTCAGATCTGATCGTCCTGCCACTATCGTTGTGACTGACTCTGAGACTTGATAACTCGACAAGGCCCACGGCGGGAACTTGGAGCTAAAGCTCAGTGCCCGAGTGCACGAAGAAAGCCAAGCTGAAGGGGGAATATTAAAGTTGACGATTTTTGTTCCTGAACTGACTCCGTTGTGGAGAGGTGTTTGGCGTCTTTGTATACTATCTCAGATCTCGGGCTGTGAGTCTGACGGCTCGCTCCCTCGCTCGCTGGCTGACCCTTGATCGATCATATGACAAGTCTTCGGGCGGAAGACTTTCGTTGCAGTCCGATAAAGTCTTCGTGTAATGACGGCTTTGGATTTCTTTTGATATACGTAGCGGCATGCAGTGGCTGACCCTTGATCGATCAGAGTACAAGTCTTCGGGCGGAAGACTTTCGTTGCAGTCCGATAAAGTCTTCGTGTAATGACGGCTTTGGAGTTCTTTTGATATACGTAGCGCATGCATGGAACGGACGGATATCTCCATTGGCTCCTCGCCACGAATTTCCTGCAGAATGATACATGGAGCATAATCTATCAACACGTAGACAGACTCATATTCAGCTCGACGAGGACAGTTTCCCACCAGATGAAGCTACGTTACGAGGATCCAGAACTTCTGACCCTATAATGCATAACGTGAGATGACCTATCAACGCACAGAGAAAGAGATTCGTACCCTGTTTTGGTCGGCTTGCGTTCCAAACATTTCGGACGTGGAAGAATGGCTTCTGAAGTACAAAAGGCATTATCCTTCTCGTGATGATGGTCCTCTCATCAATTTTTATATCCTTGTGCCCCATGTGATGTTTCTCAGTTATCATTCTCATCACTTGGCTCGTCAGAAGATGGTAGCTTGATGTAATCCCAAGAACATGCACTGCGAGCCAGAAGCTTCTGGATGTAGATCCTAACTCTTCTCGTCTCCTTCGAAGACTACGTATAAGTCGTGGTCAAGAATGGCCTATAATATCCCGTACGATGCTAAAGTTGGCAGATGCAAGGCTGGTATGAAATTGCAAAAGCAGGTTAGAAAGACTGTGGGCATGGAAATTGACTAGGATATATGCATAGCTTTACGTCCATTTATTCGAAGCAATTTGAAAAAATAAACAAAATATCGATCGCAATTATCGCATTCATTTAATGTGAAAGGGTAATGTTGGAAGATCAGTAAACTTTATAGTAATAGTTCTTTATGCTATGAGCTAGCTAGATCTGGAATGAAGACTCTCGGAGTTTGTGAGAAATCGCTATAGCTCCAAGTGCAACTCTAATGTTGACCCCATGAATGGGTCTACACTTGATGACACCCATAAAAAATATCTTCCGTTCAATCTTTGAACCAATAGTGCGCAGTTCAATAGAATGTATGATACATTGAGCTCAATGTGTTCAAAGATGTATGAGCACTTTGTAACCATATACACCGTGGAACAAAAATACCAACATCTTTCTTAGTCACTACATGCATCTGGATTTTTAAAGAAGGTGAAAATATAGTGTTTATGTAATTATAGTTCTTGTGTACATTAGTATCGGAGGTTGACTCCAATAAGAACACCACCATGTTGCTGAACGATATCACTATCAACATCATCTCGGGCATGATCAATGAACATCGCATTAAGGAAAAATTTCCATATCCTCCAATTTTGATACCCACAAATGAAATTGTAATATATCATTGAATTAACGAAACTATCAAAATTAATAAAACGACATATGTTTTTGGAACTAATGGGTAATTAACCTTTTTTCTTGAAAGGAAAAACTTGCCCGTGATAAAGTGCATAAAGTTCTCATCCTCATTCGGAATTGAGATTTATTTGTTTGGGTGGCATGTTTTGTGTTGCAGGGGCTTGACAAAAGACATGGATGCAACCAGTCATGCGTGAAACTTTTCATGTTTGTTCTGGTCGATTCATCTTACAAAATCTGTTTAGTTATATTCTATACCACGAGCATTCGCACCATTTCATCGGTATCTTGAGCATGTCAATTTAATCACGTAAACAAGCTCAATCTGGAAATATACGAGGATTATAAGACATTTGCAGATACATTTTGCCCCCTTCATTAGTGATTAAAATTTGATCTTTATAGGAGTTGAGTTCATAATTATGAATTTTGCAAGCAAAAGTGGTCTTGCACGAATATGATAGTTTTGTATTTACTTCAAGTAGGCGTGTGAGAATAAATACCTTGAACGTATTTTTCCTTCCACCATGCATGATATATTGGAGAAGCATATGGGCCTGCTAGATCTATCAAGACTGCGCGTATCCGAATGCAATGATATTGTCATCAGATTAATATCACGGTTGGAATTAAATCATGGTTCATTTAGCTGAAAGCATGTCCACGGATGGCTTCCCATTTCTCTTATAGTCATTTCCTGCTATAGATAATCAACTATGGGTTGATGCATATGTCTGATATACTTAGATTACAACTGGTTTGATTTGTATTGCCGAACCCAACTCAACCCACTTGTGATGGTCGCACATAAAGGAAAGAACTCCGAAGGGGTAGTATAGAGTGTACATCGTGGTAACGTTATACCTATATGTATATTTCACTTTGGGACTTCATGATGATTACTTTATGATAAGGATATACATCGTGGTAACGTAATGTCCCAAAGTGAAATGAAGTCCAAAAGTGAAATATACATATAGGTATAACGTTACCACGATGTACACTCGATTTCGTCACATATACATCCTTATCATGAAGTATTCAGTATGAAGTCCCAAAGTGAAATGTACATTAAGGTGAATAGAGAAGGGAAGTGAGTCAAACCCTGAAAGGCAACTGTGCAAAAGGTCTACTAGTGTTCGATGTGATCGCATTTCCCAGATGGCCTTTTGTAGAAGTCAATGGCCACTGACTTCTACGAAATGACACATAAACTCAAGAAGAAAACCTCTTGATGAACTAAACTACCACAGGGGAAGCATCAAGAGCACCAGTGCGTGTCGGAGGATTACATGATTGACATGATTCGCCCATCCTGTAATAACAGTGACCGGTACCTGTGCTGATGGTGCCCATGAAAAAACAAGGGGATACGAAGAGCCGGTAAAGAATTCAACTCAAATTCAGAGTGGTTTAAGTGTATGAGTTGTCACACGAGGGCTCCTTTCTTTTTATTCCCATGTGGCCCCAAATAGTCTTCAGAATATTTGATACATCGGGATTTGGAAATCATACGTAGTTCACTGAGCTACAGTGGCCCGCCGCATGTCAGGGTAATGATTGTTAATCAAAATGAATTAAGTCTGATGGTTTAATTTCATGTATGGTCGAAAGGTTCATGCAGAGGCCTCTCTAAATACGAAAATCTGTGTCATAGATTCCATATATGCTTCGCTGCCATGAGGTTCCGTGTTTCAAAAAAAATTGTGTAATATTTCTTGAACTAAACTTAACTAAACTAAGCCTAAAAAGTGATTAATTAACACTTTCTAGGTCGAATTTTCGTGATTTAAACTACGTCTGCAATTTTGGCCTTTTGCTGTATTCCCGAGCTCCAATGGATTTTACTGAACCAGGTGCAAACCGTCCATGCAAAACTAGAGCCTCGCTGACAAGGTTTGAGCCAAAACACCTCTTATAGTGTCTGCATTGCATCTCGTGATACTCAATTTTCCAAAGTAGTTTTTATTCGTTGTCAATTTTTTGTATGTTTCTTACTTGAAGTATCCGCTAAAAACAATTAACGTCTTGGACATTTGAGGTTACTCCTTTCAAAATCAATAACTACACGCAAGATCTTAGCATCAAGCACCAAGTCAGATGAAGGAATATCAAAAGCTCTTACTATAGGAGAAATTGTAGTAGTTTGATGTGTCTGTCCAAAATTATCAAAGCCACACATGATGAGATCAACCAGGCAAGTTTCAACATTTTAACTACATGCTTATGTTTAACTCCCAGTAACCTAGAGCGTTGAAAATATCCTTTGACAGTCTCTTGGCAACAAAATGCCATTGATCAAATAATGGAACAACACACGCAATTTTTGATTACCGCGGACGGTGAAAAACAACTTCAAAATGCATTAAACCTTCTCACGAAACAATCTGACTTCAATAGACAAGTTTCCTCAATTTATCGATTTTTTTTGTGGAGTATTAGCCTCTCCATTTCCAAACATGTCCACTATACGAAGCAACATTTCAGAAAAAGATCTTCATGGATAAAAAATAACATCAATATCCCTTGGAAGGATTACTTTACTGTCGTCAAATTTGGAAGTTTTTGAACAGAATATGAAAGATTTCTATTAAACTCTGTATATTCCGTGTTTTTATGACGAAGCTTATTTTGTAGTAATACGGAGCATAAGGAAGGTTCCCTTTATAGAGAAACTTGTTTATGGTTGTTGAAATGAAAGTCTGGTCAACATTATCTAATTGTGGAACCCAAACAAAATCACTTTGTCAAGCCAAATATAGTCAAGCATGGCTAGCTTCTAGGTCTCTCTTCCTTTCTGAAAATTTGACACGAGCTCATACATTTGGTAAAGTGTATGAGCTCGTGTTTTCTTTTGCCACAACTTAAACTTTAGGCAAAAGAATATCACGATATGGTGTACCCACCGTAGAAGAAAACACCGTATAGGATGATCATCCAACAACTTAGGACAAACTCCTCACGACTTTCTCACTAACTCTATTATCTATATAAAGTTCTTCTCTTTTATGTGAGTACATGTGAGTTATGTGAGTACATGACTTATCAAGTCTAGTCACATACTCTGCATAACACTCAAAGCCAAGACAAAAAAAAATTACAGCTACTTTTATCTCCTAATACATCTATAGAACGAGTAAAAAAACTACAAGGAGGCTAAATCTTCTATTTTCTGTCTTTCCCTAAGCTTTAAATCTAAGAAACTAAGATCAACCAAAATTTTGCATGGAAAGCGAAAGATCAAAAATATTAAAATATTTGAATAGTATTGGAAAAGGTATGTCGTATGTTGAGACAATCTAATTTACCATATCCATTTTGGGCTGAAGCTAACAATACCACATTATATTTGATAAACCTTTTTATCTCTAAAACAATCAATTTCTTGACATCATTTGATTTGAACCACAAACGTATGTGTTTTTTATACTCTCAAGACTTTTTTTGCAACATTCTTGCACAACCTACCTCTTTGGATCGTTTTCTTTAACCATGTAATAAATTTGCATGAGTCGAAAGACTAAAATAACATTATTCTAGTAATATTTCAGTTCGGGCTTTAAAAAATTTGACTAATAATGTAATAAAAGCTACTAATGTTGGCAAATATGCATGTACTATACATGATTATCATGTGTTGAAGTCCTATTCTATAGAATGCATTAGTTTATGCAGGGACAGAATTATCCATAATATCAACTAAGATAAAATACCCTAAACAACTATTTATTTTCAATCCAACTAGCCTTCTAGTTATGTGGCTATCAAGCTTATATAGGCAGGTTCTTGTAATTCCACAATGCAAAA